GGGGAAGGAGGGTTATGGATGTTTGAGTTCTGTTTGAGTCAACTAAGTCATCTCTTTATTCATCCGAAGCTTTTTCTCCGTTTCCTACCTTTCAAATATGTTGCCTGTGAAGATGTCTTCAGAGTAAATGGTAAATTTTTTTTTTTTAAAATGCTTCGCCGAAGTTCTACAGCTGGCTGCTTCTCGCCATAATCCTTCCACATCTTTTTTCACGTCTTTTCTGCTGTCCCGGGCCACACAATTTTATACATCTATCTCCCGTGTAAATCTTCAATCACTCAAACTCCAGATAGTCTCGTACGTGTATTACCCTTGTCAGCCTCTGGTGCATCGTGAGGGAGACTACTTCCTGAAGGCAACTGACACCAAGTCTGGCATTTACAGTTTCCCCCCGGTCTTTTCCGTGGATAAAGACGCGCGACGGCGAAAGATGGCCCGAAACGTTTTTTTGGATAGGGACGAGGCATTTCTAAACGATTGGCCTCCCAAGTGGAGAGTATTGACAAAAGAGAAGAAGTTAAGATTTGATACGGGCTTAAGAAGTATTATGAAAGAAAGTCTGTCGTTTTGTCGAGTAATAAAGGTTGTTGAAGCCAGCGGGGGAGGTAAGGATCATTTTGATTACCGCTCCTCAAGTCTTGAAACTATCTGTGTAAGGTAACGTTGGACTGAACGATTTTTGACGTGGGATGTTCTTGATGCAATTTCGGTAACTACAAAGTCAACGCTATTTGTACAATAGAGGGAAAGAGGGAATATTGGCCTTTCGTTGGTGTGTAACTCTAAATTAACGTATCTTCCCTTCTTGAATTGGGGATTTTTTTTCTGTGCTTCCTTTCAAATGCGCTGCGGACCCGAAAATGCAGCATCCACCAGCCTCCTCTTTTTAGAAACATCTTGCCTGCGAACTTTGAATTGCATGGAAAGTCATTGGCGCTAGAATGTTACATTTAAACCTTATTTCAGTTTTCAATGCACGAGTTTTTAGGTGTCGTCGTGTGCTGCTGCTGTCCAAGGCGTACATTGTTCATGAATGCGCATCTTACGCGGTATTACTCAAACAATAATATCATCATATTAATGGTGTCGGACAAATGTTGCCCTTCTCGCCCCCTATCGAATGATCAGGATGGTGTCAAAGAGGGGGAAAACACGAGTCCGCAAAAAGAAACGGATTTTCAAATGTAGCAACGGGTGACTATACCAGCTGACGTCTCCCCTGGGCGGAACACGGGTGTCAAGATGCACGAAACTTGACCGAGTGCCATTCGGGGTGACTTCCCAGTTTTCGGCTGCCAATGATAAGGTAGAATTATGAAGATCTACATATCTCTCGTGATTATGGACAAGGGATTGTCATTAAGGAAAATGTGGAACGTCGCTCAAGCCTCTCGCATGCCTTCCTTCCTTTATCCCACGTGCCTCAAATTTCCTTCACAGGCAAGGTACACATCATGGCAGAATTATCACTTGACCAGAACGTAAGCCATCATAATGGATCGCATGCCTCCCAGCGCGTGAGTGAGCTCGTGGGTCACAAAAGATTTGTCCGGCATAACCCTTTGAGCGATCGGTTTGAGGTACGGAGGAAGTGCGGCAAGCGGGCTAATACTATAAGCGGGAAAGTCGGATTATGATAGTGATCTGTGGTTAACTTGATGTCGTAGACTCAATCAGAGACCTTCATATCATCATGGTGCCGGAAACTACGGCATGGCCCGCATCTATCGCACTCTGCGCTTCCGTGCCTTCATTTTCCTGGGCCTCTGACTTTGCTGCGCTTCCCTTAAATGGCAGATGAAACGCTTCCACCACCTGGAATTCTATTGTGGCGATGCCACCAACACATCGCGTCGTTTTTCTTGGGGTTTGGGCCTGTCGCAAGTGGCGAAATCCGATAACTCCACAGGCAATCCTCTCTACGCGTCCTACGTCCTGCAGTCCCAAGAGCTCGTTTTCGTCTTCACTGCACCTTACGCCAGCACTCCTCCTTCCTCCTCCGTGGCTGCCGCACTGTCCCAACCCAGTCACCGCATTGCCGAGGCCTCCCCCTCGCTTGCGCCCTCTCCTCACCCTGCCTTTGATTCTTCGATGGCCATGGGGTTCTTCGGGAGACATGGCCTGGCTGTTCGCGCCATCGGCATCGAGGTACACGACGCCTCCCAGGCGTACGAAGCGTGCCTGGCCCATGGTGGGAAAGGCGTCTTGGCTCCGCAGGTCAGGAAGGGGATGGAAGGACTTGGAACGACAGGGCACAGGAAGCGGGGATAATATATTTATGACCATGTATTAAGGCCGAGAGATACAAAAGGGTTGTGAATGAGCGGATAGACTTAAATAGCGGGTACTCGAAAATCTAGAAACCGGCGCGGGGTTTCGAAGTTTTGCCCGATGAGATTTTTATCTTCCCCCCTTTCGTCCTCTCTCTCTTCCCCTTTCCTCTCCCTCCCTCGTCACTTCCCTCCCTTCCTCTTTCTTACTCGCCCATCTCTTCTCTTTCCCCTTCTTGTCCTCCTCAGATCCTAAAGGACACAGCCACGGGTCAAGTGAAGTGGATTGCGGAGGTTTTGGCCTATCCAGGCAATGACGCAGAAGTGGTGCTGCGCTTTGTCAGTGGCGATTTCGACGGTGGGGATACAAGGAGGGAGAGAGGGAGGAAGGGAGGAGAGGGAGAAAAAGAGGAAGTAGGGGAAAGTGAGGAGAGTGGAGACTAGGTTGGGGAAGGGGGGAAAGACGGGAGGGAGAAAGGAAGGGTATGGGAATGAGCCCATGGGGAAGCACCTTCGTGCTTGATGAGGCAAATCCGGTCGAATTTCAGACTCATTGAGGAGATTCTACATGACTCTACATGACTAAGTTACCCTTTTTCCGTGTACTCTCTCCACCGCTTCTACTCCCTGCGTCCTTTCCTCCCCGGTATCCCCCGCCCAGGTCCTTTCCTCCCTAACTACCAGGAAACCCCCATCCCCCCCCTGAGCTACGGGCTTCAGCGCATCGACCACGTGGTCTCCAATGTCCCGCAGCTCTTGCCGGTGGTCAACCACCTGATGGAGATGACGGTGTGGGAGGGAGGGAAGGGCGGGAAGGAGCGATCGGCGGGGAGGCCGG